GGGAAGTTAATTTGAAGATTTTATATTTTTTCATTTAAGCATGGGAATATTTCAACAGGGGTATTTTTTTTTTTTTTTTTTTGGTATGTCAAGGCACAGTGGTTGTGCCATATTAAAAGCTCCAAAACTGTATCTTTTTAAAAACCTAAAACATATTTTAAAATATTGCTGCTGTTCTTTCTGGTCAGTGCCATTATACATTGAGTCCCATCTAAGAGGGGATAGTATTTCCAGAAAACTGTGATTAAGGAGACATTTCAGTGAAAACCACATGAAGTTATAGGAAAATCTAACTCAAAGTGTTGTCTTTCTCATTTGTTCAAGAGAGGAAAGTTTGGTCTGCTTAAAACCATAACTTATTGGCAAAAATGGAACACTTCATAGTATTAGTTGCCAATTCCTTTCATTTATGTTGGCTGGAAAAATGTCCAACTATGAAGATCTGGAATTGTGAATGCAATAGTTTAAAAAACTTGTTATGTTTCTTTTGCCTTTTATTTCTTTGGTGATAAGTGCAATCATTGGAAGTGAAGCATAAACTGTAGAGAAGCAGAAAGTGAAGGAGAAAGGAATATGACATGATAAACAGCTAATTTCAATTAGCTGTTATTGCTCAAGAGGGCAGTTTGTTGTCAGTTCTCAGATGAAGTCTCCTAGGCCTTCATCACCAAGAAGATGTAGCAGCAATACATCTTTGGAATTAAAATAGAAAAAGAAGGAGGTGGTGTAAATAGTAGTAGCTGTTAGCCCACCTTCCCAAACTGGAACTGTAGTTTAAAGATAAAGCGTAGTTTAAAGATGGAGCATAGTTTATAAAGATGAGCATTTACAGAAAAATACAAATTTGATCCTTTTGCAGCCAGCCTCCTTTCATGCTTTCCTGACTGTGACTTCTGGTGGTTGTAGTGATAGTGAACACAGGGCAATTCTGCTTTAAGGGCAGCGAGGTCCATGAAGATGAAATGTCCTAGAGAGTGCAGGGTGTTTCCTTGTCAGGAAGAGCTGTTCAACTAAAAATGCTAATAGGGACCCTCCTGGGA